GGGCTGTGGGTGGGAAGGGGTCTCTCAGCAGGGGCTGTGGGTGGGAAGGGGTCTCTCAGCAGGGGCTGTGGGTGGGATTTTACCCCAAGAACTGGTTGCAAAGTTCTCATTGTGTGTCTTAGAGGAGAGGGAAAGACTAGGTCTTGAGCAAAATTTTGGGAGGAGCAGCAGAGTGATGAGCCAAGTTGGATGACTTTATCTGTCATTCCACCTACATGGGAGGCTGAGGCAGGAGGATCTCAAGTTCAAGACTAGCTTAGAACACAGGCCTTGCTTCAAAGACTAGCAAATATGTGATGGGACAGGAAGGTAGTGAGGGGGTGTGAAGGTCTCCAAATGCCAACTGAGTCAGGAGTTGATTGCCAGGAGGACCTAAGGGTTTACCAAGACTGACACCAGGGAGTGTCACAAACCTACCCACATAGACAGACCCAAGGGGACACGTGTTGTGTGCGCCTTAAAACCAAAGGAGAAATTCAGGTTCGGAGCCTGTGTAAGGCATTTGGGCACACCCCAGGAAAGAGGGGCTGGGTCTCTGCAAAGCTGAGCTTGCTCCTGTTTCCTGCTCTCCTAGACATAGACGAGTGCAGCCAGGACCCAGGGCTGTGCCTGCCCCACGGGGCCTGTGAGAACCTGCAGGGCTCCTATGTCTGTGTCTGTGATGAGGGCTACACACTCACCCAGGACCAGCATGGGTGTGAGGGTGAGTACCCTCCCCTTCCCTCAGCCTGGCTAATCCTCGGAGCTACAGCTGGGCTGAGATGGGCCCTGGTTCCACCTTTCTGAATTCCCAGAACAGGAAGAAATCCTCTTTGCCTGAGAGAAGTGGGGTGAGCTAGACCTCTCACTAGGAGGAGAGAGTGGGTGCGGTTTGGGGGTACAGCAGACAGGCCGAAGCTACTGTCTCCACCAACTTGAACTGTCACCCCCTCCCCAGAGGTGGAGCAGCCGCACCACAAGAAGGAGTGCTACCTTAACTTCGACGACACCGTGTTCTGCGACAGTGTGTTGGCCACCAATGTCACACAGCAAGAGTGCTGCTGCTCTCTGGGAGCTGGCTGGGGGGACCACTGCGAAATCTACCCCTGTCCGGTCTACAGCTCAGGTCAGTTCATCGGGAAGCCAAAGGGCTTTCCCTCTGGGTAGCTGGGAAAGGAGAGAGCAGGCCTGCGCTCAGACCGTCTGGCTTCTCTGGCCCTGCAGCTGAGTTCCACAGCCTCTGCCCTGACGGAAAGGGATACACACAGGACAACAACATCGTGAACTACGGCATTCCAGCCCACCGCGGTAAGCTTGGTTTCCGGGTGCCGTGGGGTCTGCCACTCGCTGGGTAAACCCCGTTTCTTGTACCAGCTTGATCCCAGCATTCCCCGCCAGTCATCTGCCTTGGGTTCAACTCTCCCTAAGCCCTGCGCAGGTGTCTCAGGCCGGGGCCTGCCCCTGGGCACTCACGCTCTCCTCGGTCACACAGACATCGACGAGTGCATACTGTTCGGGGCAGAGATCTGCAAGGAGGGCAAGTGTGTGAACACGCAGCCCGGGTACGAGTGTTACTGCAAGCAAGGCTTCTACTACGACGGCAACCTGCTGGAGTGTGTGGGTGCGCACAGCAGTGGGTGACGCCCGGGGAAGCGGCCGCCCTGATCCGGGCCACTCCCGTTGCCAGCAATTCTTTCTCCCCGCAGACGTGGATGAGTGCTTAGATGAGTCCAACTGCAGGAACGGAGTGTGTGAGAACACGCGCGGCGGCTACCGATGCGCCTGCACGCCGCCCGCAGAGTATAGCCCCACGCAGCGCCAGTGTCTGAGCCCAGAGGAGATGGGTGAGGCCCAGGGGATCAGCGTGGGGAGCAGGAGGGGCCAGAGCCCAGACTGAACTGTGATTACCTCCCCCCCCCATGCCCCGTAGACGTGGATGAGTGCCAGGATCCGGCTGCTTGCCGCCCTGGCCGCTGCGTCAACCTCCCGGGCTCCTACCGCTGCGAATGTCACCCACCCTGGGTGCCCGGGCTCTCCGGCCGCGACTGCCAGCTCCCTGAGAGCCAGGCGGGTGAGGGCGACTTTCGTCCTGGGCCGATTGACTTTGAGTCCTGTCGGGGTGATGCCCCCGGGCCACAGTCCGCAGGTGGGATGGGACCGAGGTGGGCAGTCCCGCCCTCCCTCCTTGCTGATGAGGGTCTTGTTCACAGAGCACACCCCAGAGCGACGTGAAGTGTGCTGGGGCCAGCGAGGAGAGGATGGCATGTGTATGGGGCCCCTGACCGGACCTGCCCTCACTTTTGATGACTGTTGCTGCCGCCAGGGCCGTGGCTGGGGCACCCAGTGCAGACCATGCCCGCCACGTGGCACCGGTGAGCTACCCCTGAGGGACGAGGGGTAGGGACTGGAATAGTGTTGCTGACTCTTTACCTATTTCTAGGGTCCCAGTGCCCGACTTCACAGAGTGAGAGCAATTCTTTCTGGGACACGAGCCCCCTGTTACTGGGGAAGTCTCCGCGAGGTTAGTGCGGCCAAGGGAGCAGAGGTGTGGATTGGAGGCCATCAGTGGGAGCCGGTGTTGATATCTGTATTCTTCTGGCCCGCATAGACGAGGACAGCTCGGAAGAAGATTCAGATGAGTGCCGCTGTGTGAGCGGCCGCTGTGTGCCGCGGCCAGGCGGGGCGGTGTGCGAGTGTCCGGGCGGCTTTCAGCTGGACGCCTCCCGCGCCCGCTGTGTGGGTGAGCAGGACGTGGGGGACAGAAGGGCAGAGCCAGCAGGAGTTGGGTGGCACCACACTGTGACTTAACCTAAGACCGCATCGTCACCCCACCTTGCAGACATCGATGAGTGCCGAGAGCTGAACCAGCGGGGGCTGCTGTGCAAGAGCGAGCGGTGTGTGAACACCAGCGGCTCCTTCCGCTGTGTCTGCAAAGCTGGCTTCACGCGCAGCCGCCCTCACGGGGCCTGCGTGCCTCAGCGCCGCCGCTGACGGCACTAGCCTGCACCTACCTTGCTGATGATCGTCGAGGGAGTTTCTACTGACAGTGGAGACAAGTATATCCCTGTCCAAATCAGAGATGGACCCAAGGGCCCTCTGGGGCCCACAGATCTCCTTCCTGCACCCCAACACCCAAGGGTGCTCCTGTCTGCAGAGTGCTGTCTGCTTTCCTCCCTGAGGATGATCCCTAGAAACTGCGAAGTCAGATCTGCCCCTTTAATTTACTCTTGGCTTTCAAAGCAAATTTATATTCACATCCCAAAGTGGTTGGAATGGCAGCACAGGAGCCACTGCTTGGGAGGGGCTAGGCTGAGCTGGAACCCAGGATGTGAAATAGAATTTATTGTGGCTCTGATTATGTACACTAGATGTGCCTGGCCTGGTGACCAGGCTCACATGGTTTGTACAATAAATACATCCGCCAGGCCTGCTCTCCAGTGATTGGAAGTGCCCGGGGTGGAGGGGGGGGTTAAGGGGTAGGGTTTTCAGTCCAGTTTCCGGGCTCCCAGCTTCATGGGCCCCTTGGTGGCCTTCTTCTCTGCCCGCTTGGCTTCCATTTCCCTCCGCCTCTCCTCACGCTTTTTCCGTGCCAGCTCTGCCTTCGCCTGTCCTGGGGTCGAGGGGAAGGATGACTGGGTTGAGCAGTCCATGCGCTCCGCTCCCAGCCCTGCCCTCCCCAGACCCGCTCCCCCTCCCTAGACCCGCTCCCCCAGCCCTTGGGGGGGGGAATACTCACTGCTCTCGGCCTCCAAGCCTTCCCAGTTGTCTTCACCCCAGGAGTCTGGGTCTGGCCTGGGCTGAAAGGAAAATGGGGGCTACAGTGGGGCTCAGCTCCCAGCAGCAGACCACCCCAAGCTGTGCTCTCCACAGGCCAGTACCTGGGTGCTGGGACGACCCGACAGGGCAGCAAAGGGGTCACTGGGCTCCGCACCACCCCAGTTATACTCGCTGGCTAGCCGGGTGCCTTCCGGGGGTGGCTGCACAGAACTGGACTCCTGCCAGCCCTGCTCCCAGGAGCCCTCGGCTTCCCAGCTGTTCCAGTCTGACTCCAGAGGTTTGTGCTCTGGGTGGCTGACCTGTGAGCAAACAATGGGAAGAGAGGTAGGCTGGTAGAGAGAAGAGCCAGACAGTGCTCCACATATGTCCCCTGCCTGACCCAGCCCACCTGTCCAGCTCGGCTCCCCGGGCCCTTGACACTCCAGTCATCCTGCTGGGCCAACACCGACTCGGCTTCCTGCTGCGGGGCGAGGAGGAGAAAGGCGTGACAGCGATACTCTCTGCCCTCAAGAGGGCGAGTACAGTTAGCCACGGCTCAGCTGCCCTGTGGTTTTGGTTTTTTGTTTTTTTTTGTTTGTTTGGTTGGTTTTTTTGGAGGAGAGTTGGTTTTTTCAAGACAGGGTTTCTTCATGTAGTTTTGGTACTTGTCCTAGATCTCGTTCTGTAGCCCAGGCTGGCCTCGAACTCACAGAGATTCGCCTGGCTCTGCCTCCTGAGTGCTGGGATTAAATTGTGAGCCACCTCCACCCGGCTACGCTTCAGTTTTTTATTGTTTCTGAGACCTACCAACCCCCTCCTTTCTGACCCAGCTCTTGGGGACCCGAAAGTTGAATAGGGGCTCAGCGGCTGGTGCTGGTCTATCATGACCATTCTGTGAGGCCACCTACCAGGAGGCCGTGCAGATGAGGGCAGGCCCAACTCTAATCTGTGCACTCCCCTGAAGGGTGGCCTGTGGTCGAGCTGGGCTTCCCTGGTGAGACCTCCTCAGCCCGCTCACCTCTAAGCTGCCCCAGTCCTCGTCGTCCCATCTGTCACCGGTGGCACTGTCTTCTGCAGTGTCCTCCTTGTCGTCTTCCTGTGTCTCCCATTGGCCTGAGGTCATCGGGGTGTCGGGGGCAGGGGCTGGAGTAGGGTTTCCTGGGGAACGAAGAGTCTGAGCTCTCGAGATCTCGGGGAAGGGTAGAAGTTGCCAAGCAGCAAAGAGTGAAGGAGAAGGAGTACCAACCAGGGGGAGTGGCCAGCATCCCCCATCCTTTCCGTTCCTGTCACTACATTAGGAGAGCGTGACAATAGCAGCTCTCAGCCCTCAGCCGCTGACGCAGTGGGCCTGGGATACTCACCCTCTGGCCCTGGTCTCTGGGGCACAGGGGCCTCAGACGGCAGAGGCGTGGGGTGAGCACGGATGAGCTTAGAGGTGAGTGAGGACACCCCGGTCACGGCCCAGCCTGCCCAGCTGGCTGCAGCTCCTCCTGTTCCAGGGCTGGATGCTGCATGGACATCCTTCTCTGGATAACGAGAGGCAAGCAGCACAGGCTTCATGGAGAGAGGACAGAGGGCCAGCTCTGCAACGGTGGTCCTCAGCAAACCTCCCCTGTCGGCTCCGTCCTCTCCACTACGGAACAGGAAGCTGCTTGCTGGGGTTTCCCAGCTTTCACATGCTCCCATGGGATGGGCATACCAGGGAACAGTCAAGGACGTAGAGCGAAGGGAAAGAGAACAGTGTGGGCCACTCACCCACTTCTGCCAGTTGGGTAGGATCCTCTGACACAGACTCCAATTTGGACAGGAAGCTTCGGATGGTCTTAAAGGCCTGTGGAGTAGCAAGAAGCCAAGTTGGGTGCTCCAGGATTCCAAGGGATTGCCAGGCCTCTGGGAGACTGGCTATCCCTGAGCCCAGCCCTGGGGTCTGCCTTGGCTGTGCCTTACCTGGTCCCGCACAGACTTCTCAGGGTCCACAGTAAGGCCGCAGAGCACAGGCAGGATCTTGTGGGCGCAGTCATCCATCGAGTAGAGATTGTGTGTGGCTGCAAAGCCCAGGACGCCCGCAACCCGGGACGGCGCAAACGGGTCCTTAGTGGCCCGGCTGAAGGCAGAGGTGAGGACCCTGTGTCTAGTCTGAGAGCCCAGATTGAAAAGGGAAAGGATGCTTCAATGTACAGAATCAACAAGGGGCCCCAACTACCAGACCTTACTTCCCAGGACAGGGGCCATCCACTGGACCCAAGGTCTGAAAATGTGAACGTATCATTCATAATTTAAAAGAAGAGGGCTCTAGCCCTACACCTTGAGGCAGTGTGGAACCCAATGATCCAAGAGAAGCCTAGGTACATGTTTGTATTCTCTTCCTTTATTATTATTATTTTGGTTTTCTGAGACAGGGTTTCTGTATGTAGCCTTAACTGTCCTGGATCTCACTCTGCAGACCAGGCTGGCCTCAAACTCACAGAGACCCACCTGACTCTGCCTCCCTAGTGCTGGGACTAAAGGCGTGCACCACCATGCCCAATTTTCATTCATTCTTGTTAAGTATCCAGGCCTGGCAGAAGTTCAAGTTTATAGACCTCGGCTGAGGTGATGTGTGAAGACTTGGAATCAAGCAGACCTGGGTTCAGAACCCAGATCCATCACCTGACTGTGTGCTCTATGGCTAACTCCACTTCGAGAAGCCCAGGCATTAGGTCTCACATTGCTTAGGGGCTGAGTCTCTGGAACAATGAGGACCCACATACACACAGGCCTTGTAGCCTAAAAGGAGGCTGCTATCCTTCCACAGCTCTCCAGGACACTCACACTAGCACTGAGGTAGGAGCCGATTTTGCCCAAGCAGACCGTGGTGTTGCAGCGGATGGGGCCCTGGTCATCCTTGGCTTGCAGCCTTGCAAAGTGCTTCATCAGCTCCACGTTGAGGTTGGTCTCGTTCAGCTTTGGGGCCAAGAGCAGCATGGACTGTGGAGCGGAGGGGACAGAAGGTATTGTGAGTGAGGGCAAGAATGGACTCCTGGGAGAGTGCTCAGGCCACCAGTGGGCTGTGGCTTTCAGCAGGGCAGTCTTTTTGGGAGGAGAAGGAAGGTCTTCTGAGACAAGGTCTTGATATATCTCTGGCTGGCCTACAACTCAGAGCCATCCGTCTGCCTCTGCCCCTGAGTGTTGGTGTCACAGGCATTGCAGGTACTGCATTACAGTTATTGCCATATTGGCTGCTAGGTACTCGCATATTAAAAGTTACAAACCCTCCTGCCTATACTCCCCTTTCCCTTTCTGATGAAATACACGTCACGGTGTATCATCTGCCAGGCCCACTGTCTGTCCCATTCAAGGACAGAAGGACATGCTGTCTGTGTGGACTGTGTCCCAGTAATGGGGCCAGGCAGGCCCTGGGAGCTGCTCAGCGTCAGCTGAAAGTCCCCCAGATCCTTCCCACTTTCAGAGCTGTACCCAGGGACTGGATTGGCAGCATGCATGCATCTGGACCCTCCCACCACACCCACTGTCTCAAACCAAGGCCATGTTCCAGAGAGAACCACTTCCCTATCTTGGGAGCCAAGAGATGGCCACTGCAGGCCTGACTCCACCCACCTTGACTGTCTGCTCCCGGATGGCAGGGTTGGTGTCCAGGAAGCCATGCACGACATGGGGGAAGATCTGGGTGTTGACTGTAGGCTCATCGAGGTATTGGATGAACTGCTCCATCTGTGGCCCAGGGTGGGGCATGAGAAGATGGCTGCATCCCCACCAAAGTCACAGGGCCACTCTGGCTTTGGGTGGTCCAGTGCAGACACTGGCCACCAGGTAGCCTCCTGAGCCCAGCTCATGTGCATGTCCTCATGAGGAAAGTGCTTTTGACAGTTGGACAGGGATGGCCCCGGTAGTCACCAGTTCTCTCTGGCTCCTAAGAACCTTCTAACATAGAGGCTAACAATTTGTTGCTCCAGCTGTCCTGGGGCTGACAGGAGAAACTGTGTCCTGCTCTAGAGGAAGAGGACCTAAGTGACTGAGTCTGGAGAGTCCCAAGGCTACAAGAAGCCCTGGGACCAGCTCCACTTCCCAAGAGCTTTCCGGGCCCTTCACCTGTGTAACATTCATGGTAAGCATTTCTGGGGTTCACCTGTCTAAGCCTGGGGGTGACTGGAACCAGGATAGGGTCTGGGAGGAGGACCTGGGCAGAAGCTGGCTGAGACCTCTACCTGCTGGAGGAGGCGGATGCGCATGGCACGGTCAGTGGATGAGAACATCTTCACCACCACGGGGATGATCTTCTGCTGGTACTCTTCAGCACTGAGGAATTTCCCCACCTGAGGAAGGAGCAGGAGAAGGGCTTGGCCACATCCACAGGGCTAGGGCAACTTCTCAGGGCTCCCTCAACTTGTCTGAGCTCACTGCTGGCTTCCAGGCTAGGAATGAGGTGATGGCGGGGGACTTAGAGGAGGAGGAAGGCTCTGAAGCAAGGGTTCTATCAGCACAGCTCTGGAGCACAGGGAGTGTCCTCCCAAGGGCTGGAAGTCCCCAGCCTCCCTCCACTGGTCAGGTGGCCCTGGCCCGCTAAGTCCTGAGGACCCTGGGCTTGCGTTTACCCTGAATGTGCTGCTCACCCAGAGCCGTTTCCACAGGGCCCTGGGCCCCACAGTTCCTGGCCCCTTTACCTTGAAGAG